CCTGGCTCTGCGTCACTCACTGTCATATCCTGAGAACCTGGGGCTGGCCCAGCACGTGGCCACCATTCCCTAAGAGTTTATTTGATTCGTCAGTGCTGAAGGCAGGGGATAGAGCTTCGACAGGGCCCCTGTGTCCTGTTTTGTTTATCTGCAGCTTACTCATCCTCACCCCTTTCACATGCACCCTGCAGAGCAGGTGTTCACTGAGCTTCCACAAAATTCACCAGAGCAGCTGATGGATACTGAGGCCTAGATTCACTGTCAAAGTGTTTCTCAAAGGGCGTTCTCCTTTACAGTATAAATTTGAAAACCCCTGCCCACGGGTCTCCCCTTGTGTATGAGCAACCAGCTCTACCATTCAGCCCAGGTGTGTGTTTGCTGGACCATCTGGAGGAAGCTGAGGAGACATGAGCTGAAGGCAGAGGGTGAGTCCGAGGTGGGATCTTGGGACAGGTACGAGAAGTTGGGCGAAAATGGGACAATTCCAGCCTTAATAACCTTAGATAATAGTTCGCATTATTATTTAGTTAATTGGATCGTACCTATGTTAAATTTCTTAATTTTTTTAAGAGATAAAGTCTCACTCTGTCACCTAGGCTGGAGTGCAGTGGTGCAATCATGGCTCACTGCTTCCTGGAACTCATGGGCTCCAGCAATCCTCATGCCTCAGCTTCCTGACTAGGTGGGACTATAGGCACACGCCACCATGCCTGGTTAATTTCTTTGATTTTCTCTAGAGACAGGGTCCACCTATGTTTCCCAGGCTGGTCTCAGGCTTCTAGATGCAAGCAAAGTCTAGACCAGCCTGGGCTAAGTTGGCCTGTGCCATCCAAACAGAGTCTCAGGTCCTGAGACAGGGCGTCCAGATGCCCCAGTGCAGGGCCCACCTGATCGACACCTGCTCCCCTGTACTCATTAGCAACCTCACCCACCCTACTCTCAAGGCACACTTGGCCCTCATATCTGGGAGCTCTGCTTCCGTGGATTCAGCCAACAGCAGATGGAAAATATTCAGAAAATAAATTGGGTGGTTATGTCTCTACTGAACATGTGCACACTTTGTTCTTCATTCCCTAAACAATATAGTTATCACAACCATTTATATAGCATCTGCATTGTACTACATATGATGAATAATCTAGAGATGGTCTAATGTATACGGGAGGATGTACATAGCTTGTATGTAAATGCTAGGCCATGTTATGTCAGAGACTTGAGCATCCATGGATTTTGGCATCCCCAGGACCCTAGAACTAATCCTCCATGGATACCAAGGAATGACTGTATAAACTCACTCAGGAAGGCTGCTCATTGGAGGAAGGGCCCAGTTCAGTACAGACAGGGATATACTCCCTGGACTACTGTCCATTCATCCATTGATACATTGTCCTCTACTCCCACGCCCATCTATGATTGTCCCAGTGACAGTCCTAGCAAGAGGAGACAAGAAAAAAGACCAGTTCACATTGTCCAGTTTTGAGGTCTTGGAAGAAGTTGCACCGACATGAGAATAGGGGGTCAGTTTCCTCCAGGATCCAGAAAGCATATCAGGCCCCCTCGGGGTGAGGAAAGGAGCGCGGCCTCTCCAGTAGCCACATGGGCTGCAGTAGGATGGGGCTGGGGCTGGCCATGTGGATCACTTGGGCCTCATGAAGGGACCAGAAAGACCAGGGGGCAGAAGAGCATGGGGGCAGCTGGTTACCTAAGGAGAAGGCACCTCAGGGAAGGGGTCTATATTGGTTTGTTTTCACACTGCTATAAAGAAAGACCTGAAATTGGGTAATTTATAAAGGAAACAGTCTTAATTGACTCGCAGTTCAGGGAACTTACAATCATGGCAGAAGG